AATATACTGACATCGTCCAAACTGGTCTAGAATATTTGTTATATTCGGTATCGGATATTTATCGTCAAGAGTTTTTTTATTATTCGTCCTTTAATCGATGGCAAAACGCAACTTCATCTTTCCCGAGACGTCGGGTTTTTTTGGGAACAACCCAGATTGGCGAAGACCATAGGGATTGACTAGGTCTGATGATTCCTTATTCCAGCATAGATTATATCTGTTTCTTAACTTCCTTTTTGGGGATATGCGGATATTTACAGGATTTTGTATAGACAGGAGCTTCGTCTGTAATTCGGATGTTGTTTTATTTGATTCGCAAATGTAAGTGGAGCATCAGGATGATTAAAAATGTCTGAAAATATTCTATAGAGCTTCTTAATATGTTTTACTTTATACAGGTTGAGATGATCTATTCTAATAAGGAGATCAATTACTATGTTCTATTGTATTTGTGGTAGTTTATCAGACGTGTACTAATAGTATTGTTAAGAGGTGAATTCTATACTTTTTACTGCTTCAATTAGGTATATTTGGATTGGTTAATTAGTGACAAGTTTTGTTTAGGCCATTTGATCGCAAGCCGTAGTAAGGCTTTCGCTTAGAATGGCTCCTTGAACTTGGTCTTGGTAGAATAATGATTCCTGTTACTTCTTTGACTGGTATTCGCACTTGGGTGATTGTTTATGGTTCGAGTTGGATAGTATAAAATTGGGTTTTAGTAGATAATAGGAATTGTGAAATTTTTAGCAATAAGTTTCTATTCTGGGATATTCAAGTGGGATTTAAGGAATTTGATATTGTCTTTGCCTATAAGATCATCAAAGGTATAAGGAAGCTGCCATCTGTGTTGAATTCTGGAAATATTGTTATTTCAGCACAATAATTCTAGGAATGTTTCTGGAAGAGGAAAGTAACGATAAATAGTTTACGTTTGATATTTTCTAAATAAAAGTTAGATGCAGTTTCTAGTGCTATTAGAATTTTGTTTAGGACATCAAAATAAACAAAGGAGACACATTTCCATGGTGGGGCTTATTATACATGTTCATTGCTAAAAGTTACATGTTTACCTCATTATGGCGGCCACTTGGCGACGCCCCAGACGTATGGCGTTTTGAAATATTTGTTCTACAGTTCATTATTAACAAAGACCACGAAACTGCAGCGTGGGGCCCATGATCCATGTCCACAGTGGAAAAATTATACGTTTCGGAAAGTATGGCGGACCTTAAGTGACGCCATATTGGTATGTCATATTGAGATCGCGGACTTTGATAACCTCCTTGATGACATAAAGTAAGAACCAAAGTGGGGCCTATGATCCAGGGGCATGGATATTAATAACACGTTTGAAAATTAACCCCCCTAAAAGCTTCACATTAGGGGTGCCATACCGGGAATTCAAAGTGGGAAATAACGTTGTTTATCAACCTCAAAAGCCTCGGTGTGGGTCCTATGATATATGCAAAAACCCTCTCGGCTCCCGGTCTAAATAGAATCTCTGTAATATCTGTGCTTTGTGATAAGGTATCACCGGCACAGAAACATTCAAGCCGTACTAAGTGGGTGACGAAAAAATAATAATAATAATCGTCCCTTCCCCGCACAAGATCAGTCGGCTTCCGAGGTAAAAATCACTCATCGGGAGGGAAACTAAAGTGCTTAATATTTTTGCAATACTGCTTTAGATTCATCCCATGGTGCGCTTACAGTCTACAAATCATAAATAGGTATTTTATAGGTTTAACTTTATGCATCCTACTGTCGGGATCGTCAGACAAATCTGCTTTGTTATAATTTAGTTCTCCTACATTTCTTGTTTTTCATATTTTAGAAACTCCCAGACAAGTCGGAAATTTCACATTCTATTTTGTTCTGCTCTGGCGCATTTAATATTTTATTAAGACTTCTTTCAAATTACAGAAATGAAATAAGGAAAATGGATTTGACGGTTTAGAAAACGCTTCCTGTTAGAGGAATATAATTATTGAGATTTGTGTGTATACGCAGTAAGTGCCAACAGGGCCGTAATTGCAAAAATTATATAATAGGATGTTGTTTTTTTAGAAAATACTTCTCTAACAGATTGTTTTTTGTATATCAAATCTAAGCATAAATATATAAATATAAACAGTATGTCCAAAAGAGGGTAAAAAAATTACAATAAAGTTTGAATTCAAACAAAAAAATCTTGTAATAAAAGTCTGTGTCACTAGGAAATCCATAAAAACCGCTTTACAGTTCACAATTTCAAGAGAAATTGTCGTACTAACTTCGTTTTGATTAATTGTTTTATTTTTCCTTGTATAATACATACCAGCTAACAGTGGCGGCTTGTACTTAGAGCCATTAGGTGTTCAGTAAGATTCTGCCCCCCCCCCCCCCCCCAAAAAAAACAAACTTATACTCATACGTGTATTTAAAAAATCTCTTTTCATTTATTAACCTATAAACAAAGACATTACAACTAGAGACCAAATTGTTTACATTTTTATGTGGCAAATCATTATTCCCACCAGATTTTCGTTTATTGCATCTTTGCAGGTTTTATCAGTCTGTAAAAATTATTTAAAGAAATTACTTTTGAAAAATAAAATTTTATGGATCCTATAATTATAATTTTGTATTATACGAGGGTCATTCAATAAGTAAAGAGACAAATAGCTATAGCTCAAAACCGGTTTATTTCAATCTTTCAAAATTAAGGCTATTTTTCAACATAATCACATCTCACAGTTATGCACTTGTCCCATCTTCCTTGCAGCTTCCTAATTCCCTTGGCGAAGAATTCTTTCGATTTACCCCGAAGCCACTTTTGCACCGCTTCCTTAACTTTCTCATTGTTAGCAAATCTTTTTCCACGTAGGGCGTCTTTGAGTGGTCCAAACAGGTAAAAATCAGACGAGGCGAGGTCGGGACTGTTGGCAGGATGAGGTAAGACCTTCCAACCCAATTCTTGAAGTTTATCACGGGTCAGCTGGGCTGTATGAGGGCAGACGTTATCGTGCTGAAGAATTACTCTTTTTGACAAGAGTCCGCGGCGTTTGCTGCTGATAGCTGGTCTAACTTTGTGTTTTATCATTTTAGAGTAGTATTGGCTATTGATAGTTCGCTGATCTTTAAGGAAATCGCAATAGACTGGACCCTGTGAGTCCCAATAGATGGTCAAGCATCACTTTACTGGCGGAAGGTTGAACCTTGAATTTTTTGCGAACTGGAGAGCTAGTGTGTTTCCACTCCATACTCTGCCTTTTGGTTTTAGGGTCGTAGTCATGGATCCAAACCTCGTCACTGGTCACTATTCTTTCAAAAAAAGCGTCTATTTCAATCAAACTTCGTTGCTTTAAGTCTTGACTAATGGAAAGCCTTGATTCTTTATGAGCGTCAGTAAGCTGTCTGGGAACCCATCTAGCACACGTTTTTCTGTACTTTAAATTGTTCTGAATGACATTGTGAACAGTTCCAACACTTACTTGAACTTACTTAGCTATCATTTCAACAGTAATTGTTTTGTTATCACGAATATGTCCGTCAATTCTCTATTCCAAAGAGGGACCAGAAACTTCCGTGGATGTCCGCATCGGGGTTCATCACCTACACTTGTTCGGCCACTTTTTAACCGATCAACCCACTTGTAAAAATTAGCACGGTTCATACAACATTTTCCGTACTGTAACAACATTCTAGAAAAAAATTCATTTCGTTTTACACCTTCTGCGACTAAAAATCTTATGACTGAGCGCTGCTCTTCTAAGGTGCAATCTTCTAGTGGACTTGCCATGGTAAATTGAAAATTTTGAGGTTATGTTGACATAAAATTATAAAACAGTTGATTAGAGCATATTCCAAGGTTGCCAACTAACAACCCTGAAAAGATTGTACACAATAATTGAATAGTTTTAAAATTATAGAATTTGTCTCTTTACTTATTGAATTATAAATAAAAATATGTTTTTAAACAATTTATTCTTTATAGTTTTAATATAAGCTAAATTTTTTATTAAAAATCAATATTAATCTAAACAAAATATTAGGGTTGCAAAGAACTCCGTAAATACGGCAACGCTGAATATCTTATTTTACGAATTTATATTTAGTATAGTACAAGCAAACGATATAGTGTTACTTTAAAGCCTTAACAAAAAAAAACTAATGAGACTGATACATCACCTTTAAATTAGTAGAGGAGCAAAAAGAGTAAAAGGAGTCCACATCTTGAACTTAGCATCAGTTATTGAAATTTTTTGTTTAGTGCCGATTTAAACCTAACTATACATTAATAATATTATACAGAAGATTGAATGCATAAATAACTTAATAAGTATAGTGTCAATTTTTTGGTAACTATATTGATTTAATGTGTGTGTTCATAAATGAAAAAAGGACAACTTTATTTTAGTGCTATTTTCATAATAAAAATATTATAATAAGAATGTTTTATTTTAATGAAATAATGTCATGTTATGTTTAGTGTATTTGTTCAAAAAACAATAGTTAATTCAGTAAGAAGAACAATCCACTTGTTTTGTTTATTGCCAATTTTGTTTTGCGTTCTTACTGCATTGTTATTGTATAATGTAACTTCATCAACAACGCTCTTAGGCGGGTTATTTTACTTGTGATTTTTAATTTATTTTCGGTAAAGCCACTTTTTTCATTTTATGGCGTATAAAATATCCCACCAAAAGTTTGTTATTGTGGCAAAAAATTACAGTATTTTACGAATGTTTTTCTATCCTTCTCTTAAAGGTAATAATCATGGATTTATTAAGAAATAATAGAGTTAGAAGGATAGTACAACTAGCAATTCTGAGAAATCAAGATGCAAAAAAAACTCCTGAAAGTAATTCCGAACATATTCTACTTTCAACAATATTTGCATCCGATTTAAATATTGTGACCAATCCACCAACAATCCTCAAGCGTTTTAAACCCTAACCTATTGAAAACTATCGAAGATGAAGATATTGATAATGATAGTGACTTTTCTCCCGTCTCAGACGACGATAGAACTTACGTACCTCCAAAGAAGAGACACCGCACATCTAGATCGAGTTCATCATCGTCTTCAAATTCGTCATCGTTTTCGAATTCGTCGTCGTCTTCGAGTTCCAAGTCCTCAACTACCAAACAAAAAAAAAATAATATTAACCATACCAATGAGGAGGTGGAAATTGATGCCATCTCTGATACGCAGGCTATCTGTGAACAAAGTCTCGAAAACAATGAGATTCTTTCTACTGATTCGAATTATCAAAGGGCTATAAACGTTAATATTAATGATACCAATAAGGAGGTGGAAATTATGAATGTCAGTAATAATCAACAGATGCCTGTAACTGGAGGAGCTATTCTTGACATCTTTGACACACAGTCTGTTGAGGCTATCCGTGAACAAAGTCGTCTCAAAAACAATGAGATTCTTTCGACTGATTAGAATTATCAAAGGGCTAAAAGTAATGGTAATGGCGATACCGAAAAACCAAAGAAAAAGAAAAATAAGAATAAATGGACTGCTAAGGGGTGGGTGGCTCAGTGGTAGAGTCTCTGCCTGTGGATCCAAGGGTCCCAGGTTCGAATCACACCGTTGGCCGCGATTTTTTTATTTAATTTAATTATTTAAAATTAATTATGATGCTTTGGTAGGATTCCCCACTCGACCATTCACTGTTGGGTTCTAATTAATAGCGCTGTTCCTAAAGTGGCGCTGGAAAATAGTAACAAAGCCTACACAGAACACGAGGCTAATGGCCTTAGTAGTAGATGCCGATGAACCCAAATTAAAAAAAAGGACTGCTTATAGTGCTAAGATGTTAAAAGATTCCGGCCAACAATACGTTTCGACTTCTAAAACAAAAAAGTATTCCCGGCTAAGATCCTTAAGCAAACCTGTGGAACCAAATGTCGGCTGAAATACTCAGAAAAAAAATCTGACAAATTAAGGAAACGCCTGTTCGATAATTATTGGGGCATGACTTCCTTATTGATACAATGAGAATACATAGCTGGTAATACAGATAAAAATTTTCCAAAGTATAAATACAAGAAAGTTGATTCAAATAGAAAGAATAAAAATGCTTTCTTTTTCGATGTTAACGGTAAAAAAACTAGAGTGTGCAAAACATTTTTTTAAAATACTCTGGGCATTATTGACAGATGTATAAGAACAGTGATAAAAAAGAAACAAAATTTAACTGGTTTACTTGAAGGAGAAAAAAAGGCAAACATAAGCAACATAGGAAGGTGTCTGTTAATTTGATTGATGGAGTCAAAAATCATATTAACAGTATTCCTCGAATTGAAAGTCATTATTTGCGTAAGCAAACTACAAAATTTTTTATAAATAGCGGAAAAACCTTATCCAAATATTGCTCTACATTATGATACATACTTACCGAAAAATGTTCTATGAAGACTTTAACATTAGTTTCTTTACACCCAAGAAGGACCAATGCGAACAATGTACTATATATAAATTAGCTAAAGGCCCTCAGAAGGAAGCTCAGAAAGAAAACTACGATCGGTACCTAGCAAAGAAAGAGAAGGGTTGTGAGAAAAAGGCTAGTGACAAAGAAAAAGTGTCGAATAATTTTATTGTAGCATGTTATAAACTTACAAACGGCCATGACCGTTCCAAATGGTGAAGTTTCAACTTTTTATTATAAATCTAAAATAAACTACTTAAACTTTACCATCTGTAAGCTTAAAACTAATAAAACCGAATGATTCTTTCGGGACGAGTCTGAAGGAAACCGGGATGCTAACGAAATAGGCAGCTGCGTTTTAAAGTTTTTGCAAAAAAGTCTTCTTCTGCTAATGAAAACCTTGATAGCCAAAAAAGCATCAGTGGATAATGACGAAGCTAATTCTAAGTGTATAGCTTTGATAGCTAAGCATATAAATAAACACACATATGCCTTTTGAGTTTTTACTCCTTGGTATCTTCCAATAGTAATAGAGAATGCGCCAGTGAAATCTACACCAGTGTGTAAAAATGCTTTGGTTTGGTTTACTCTCATCGAAGGTAGATCTGCTATCATAGGAAATTCGGGTTTTGGATTAGGTCGGAAACAACGATTACATTTCCAGACTCTATGTCTGATAACTTGGCGAGCGGATAAAATCCAATATTTTTGTCTTAATAACGCCTGCAATAAATAAGAACCAGTATGCAAATGTAATTTATAGAAATAATCTATCAAAAGAACTGTAAAAGGATCTGATTTAGGCAATAAGATAGGATGTTTCTCTTCAAAAGTCAATGACGAATTTCCAAGTCTGCCTTCAACTCTAATTAACCCATCTTTAACAAAAGGGTTTAAACGATGTATGGAAGATTTGACGCAAGTATTTTTGAAAATTGCCTTATATTCATCAGAAAAATGTTTCTGTTGAACAGCACGAATTACTGCAAATTCTGCCTTTTCTAAATCAGATGCTTGGATTTGCTTATGCAGGGGTAATTTTTTCAAGAACCTAAGTACATAAACTACGGAGTTCAGAAATTTGAACATATATGAAAATTTTTCAATTAAACTATATAATGGAGATTCGCTGGGCGTAACTATAAATACAGAAACCTTTGACAAATATTCAGAATCATCCATTCGGACTTCATTTTCATTGATTGACTGAATTGGCCAATACTTTGGATCTAGTGACAACCATTTTGGACCGGAAAACCATACAGAGTTATTTACTAAAGTGGCAGGGTATAAACCTCTGTAAGCACAATCAACAACATTTTCTTCACCCGTAATGAAAAACCAATGTGGCGAAGGAAGCATCTCTTGAATTTTACGAATTCTATTGGCAACAAACGATTTCAATTTGGGGCTAGGTGATTTTATCCAATTAAGGGCAATCATAGAATCAGATAGAGCAAAGATTCGGTCAATATTATGTCTAGGAGAATAAATCTTAATAACGTGTGAAAGAAGCCTGGCTAGGAGAAGAGCTCCACACAATTCTAACCTAGGTAGAGTAATCTTGGATAGAGGTGTGACTTTGGACTGGGAATATATTAAAGAAATTTGTACATCATTATTACAATCAACGACCCTAGAATATACACAGTAGCACATTCCAATATTTGTAACATGAACTTATTGTGTTAGAAGTCATTTATGTGTCATATTTAAGAATCCTTTTGTTCAACAGATAAAGCAATATTCCATATTTAATAGTTCGTTTGTTCAACAGATGGCGTAATAATTCTATTAATTCTAAACGGTAACTGTTCTAATATAACAAATTCATCTCCTCGAGCCACTACGCGATGATAGGCATACAAATTCTCGACCTTGACCAATATTTTTAATATAGCAGTTAAATAAAAGTTTTGGATCGATACATTTACTTAGTAGTTAATTGTTGTGTCCAGTCAACAAAGGACAAAGGTCTTTATATCATTACGTACCCTAATAGCACAGTATTGTTTCACGAACGTTCCAGAAACATGCACTTGGGACATCAGAAACGTCTCTGTCATGTTTCTTATTTTCCCTCAAACGTACCTGGGATGTTTCTGGCAATGACCATGTCATCATTTGTAACGTATTAGAGACGTTTCACAGAGTCGTTTGTGGAACATCCTGCGATGTTGCTCAAACGTCCTAGGCAAGTATTTATACCACTCAAAAAGGGTAAATCAAACGAGGGTGGTCCTTAGGATCTCACAAGAGTATTTTACTCTTGTGAGATCCTAAGGACCACCCTCGTTTGATTTACCTTTTTGAACTTATAACTAACACATGGCTACCACCTTCAACTTTAATTTAATATTTATACCACTGCTGGAACGTTTTAGAAATGACCTAAACGTTTTCTTAGTAGGATAATAAAATCTATTACTTCTTTTCATAAATTTATATAAATAAAAAAAAAAATGACAAAAAAATAAAAATTGTTATTACGCTTTGATTCATTGCGTCTATTTCTTTCCGGAGCCCTCTACAACCAGGAATCTATTTTTATTTCCATTTCTTTTTTGTTTACCAATTTACCGAATCTGAAACTTTTTAATTAAATGACAATATAAACAATTGATATTAAGTTAAAATAATTACCCATAATGGCTTTAGCTATTTTTAACTTGGCGACTTCCTTTTTTCCAGTGCATAAAAACAACTTACACAACTCGTACCTTGAGGGGAGCTATGCATCTTCTGATAAATTCACAAACAATATTGCTACCGTGGATTTCAAAATACAATACCTAAAATAGACTAGAATGTATAAATGCCACATTTTCTTAATGAAAATAAAGTTACCTTCTTCATTTTGGCTTGAATAGCTTGCACGTATAACGATTGTTTCTATATTTGCAAAACCTGATCAAACTTCGAATTGGAAGTTATTTTTCATGTAGCTTTACCATAGCCCTCAGAAATTCACAAACTATACACTTCAATCCGGCCTCCTATGATCATTTTTAGTTTATTTAAAAGTTTATAGAGAAGTTGTTTATTATTTTTAAACTCATCCAAACTTTATTACAAGCGAGGCCAAACACCATTTTATTTTCAACTGTCAACATTAATGAAATGTCTGTCATATGTCAATTGTCATTGGATCTATTATACGGTAGGCGTTTTCCGTTATTACTCCACGAGCAAATCAAATATGAGGTCTATTCCTTTTCATCTAAAATATCGTTCCATCCATACAATTTGTATAAATGAAACGACATTTTCATAAGTACTGCATCTCAGTGCTACACTTTTAAGGCAAAGAAATAGATTCCATCACAAAGGCTTCTGTCAATAGTGTATTTTTTTTAACTCGCGGAGATTTAACCGAATTCTCCTGCTGAATCAGAAGGAAGGATATATTCATCTCTGTCGTATTTGCTTTGCACTCTTTTATGAAGGAAATAATAAGATAAATTTGACTTGTAGCAGTTATCTTGTGAAATAAAAATACTGTTCAAAATGTTCAAATTTAATATTGGATATTATTGTAGATTTCAGGTGATTGCAGTAATTTTATAATTTCAAAAATTTCAAAATAATATTTAAAACGAAAATAAAATACCTGTACATAAATACGATGTTTCTAAAACGTTTTTGAGAAATCATTTCAGAAACGTTTCTTTAGAGACATCGTAGGAACGTACCATTTATGTCAGAAACATAGAAACATACATGGAACCTAAATGGGATGTTCCTGGCAGATCGGTGTTATTAGGGTAGGGACTTTTTATTATAACACTACACATGGTGTTCCGTTACGAATGGGACATAAAACAACTGACGATTCTCTGATTAAAAATAAGACAACTTAACGAAGCATGCTTAGATAAAATGTTTCTCGTTTCCGTTAAAATCCAAAAATTAATTATGGCTATATTTTTTTTTTTTTTTTATTACAATTTTACAAAATTTAGAAAACGTTTTTGATGTCGTAATATCCACCTATCAGCATAAAAAATATTTA